GGGGGGGGGGGGGGGGGGGGGGGGGGGGGGGGGGGGGGGGGGGAGAGAGTGTTGAGAACGTTCATTCGTGATTGTTTTATGAAGTCCGTTTGCTGAGGTTCGTTTTGAGTAGTACTTTTACTCGCACCTCGTGGTTTTTCGTGTGCGTTCCTGAAAAAAAACTTGTTGTTGTTGTTCGGTTTGACGTTTTCGTTATTACTTGTACTTGAGCATAGGGTTATCAACATTAAACGTGGTGAGATTTTGGTGTGTTCACGTATTTACCCTTTAGTTGGTTTCCGCTGGTCTCTTTAACTGACTATTGTTTCTTAACTTAACGAGCAGGAACGGCAGCGTTTCTAAAATATGTGTCATATATATCACGTCCGGCTTATTACTCACCTTCTGCCTGTCGAAGTTCGTCATCAGTCGGCCATGTTTGCTCGCCTTCCATTGGGTCAGGTTCCACCTCTGACTGCAGCGATTCCTGATGTGCTGGGTCAGCTCGCGCTAACAGCTTTAGGTCTTCGTCCATGGCAGTGGTTCCATCTTCGCTGTCCTTAATAAACATAATTGAGACCATTAGATTCGAGGATGAGGACGACTGGCACGTCGAGATTTGGTTTAGAGAATTTTGCGTTTTCTAAGGTAACAGACGCCCCAAAGAGCATCATTTCATTCTTTTCTTTTTTTATTGGAGGAGGTTAACCTCTCCACTGATCGCAAAATGATGAAACTTATAACAATCGATAACTTGTCTACACCACTACGACATTCTCGCTAACACCTACAGTTGAATGATGAACACTATCTTGTTTTCCCGCCAAAATGACGCTGGTTAAAGCGCATCTACTATTTAGTATTAATAAAATCTCGTCCTCGCCTCGAACCCTGGCGCAAACGCAAACCAAACTTGATTTCCCCTCGTATTCCTTCAAACGTTACATTAACTTTACTCTTGTTAGCTCGAACCCTCCATAACCAGAACCTACCGCTAACTCGAAGTAACTTTTGTTTTCCTTTAGATCATTTCTATAATTAAAATTTTACCCTCGATAATTTGAACCATGTTTTGCGCGCGTGAAAAGTCGCAAAAAAAAAGAAAGAAAGAAGACACGTACAGCAGTACGAAACATGAATTTGTTTATTACATCATTTTTTTTTTCTTTGTTTGTTTTTGTTTTGTTTTGTTTTGTTTTGTTTTTTTGCTTTGTTGCTAATTAATTCCTTTTAAAATTCAAAATATCGATCAATATATCTCTTGCTGCTTGACGTGAAGTGTGCATGATAATTGTAACCCTTTTCCATCCTATTTACTTGTTTCCTTTTTTTCCGCGGTTATTTGCTTCGAACTCCCGATAACTCGAACTTTTTCTATTTCCCTAGCTGAAAACAAACGGCAATAGCAGCTGTCTGTTTTTAATCTAGGTACAGGCGGTGATATGTATGGGATTTTACGGGATCCTACAGTTATGAGACTTCAAGGAAAAAAGAAAAAAAAAAGCAACAACAACGACACCACCAAAGACAAAAACAAAAACAACAACTTTGGAAGGCGTTCTTTCAAGAGTTGCCTAAGAACTGAACAAAGTGTAAATGAACAGCAATAAATGGTTACACTAATTCATTTACACGGGGAAATGAATAACAAAGAATAACAAAATTACCACGGCCATGGATTCGCCCTTAACGCCTGAAGAGATTTTTCGCTTCTGCCAAGGGAAAGGATCTGCTGGAGCATCAATCTAAATGAAAGATGAGACATGTATGTATGTGTTACATCAGAAAATAGATACAGTAGCAATGACTGAATATTTCATATACGGTGCAGGCCAAAACTAAACGAACCACGAAGACGCGACGCTGACGCACGTTAGCGTCAGCGCTTACGCGCGTCTGCGTCAGCGCTTACGCGCGTCTGCGTCAGCTTAAATTTAAGTAAGCGTCGGACCTGACGCATGTGCGCGCATTTCCAGACGCGTGTTAAGCGTATACCTTGGTTCCCTTAGTTCTGGCAGGCAATGTAGCCACAGTTAACGAGTCCAAAAATCGTTCACGGCAATCTTAACGGTTTAAGCAAAGGCTAAAAATATAGTTACGACTGCATGTCTAAAACAAAACAGAGCAAAAGGGAACAAAACATATACAGCAAAAAAACTGCCGAAAAACCTAACAGTGTAAATTGTGTCACACGTCACCTTTCCTTGAATAATAATTATATTTTGTTAGGTTACTTTACGTTGCGTTATCCCGAGTTACCTAAAGTAATTATTCCCTACATCAAGTTCTCGTAGGTTTTCCGCCCTTTCCTTTAGTTACTTCACGTTGATTTACGTTGCGTTGCGTTAGGTTACGATGCGTTATAAGCGTTGCGTTATAAGTAGTAAATGAGCGGTACACTACAGTTATTCGTCAGGAAACTAGACACCCTATAATATCTATGGGAAAACAA